GTGCCTGTTTTTTAAGGCACCAGGCTTCGTGGTAATTGGTTATAAAGCCCTAGGCAGGGAAACCAAATTCCAATTTGGTTCAGAATGAAATTGCTAGTTCTGGCACCTCGCTAAGCCTTGCTTTTCCGGTCGAACAATGGGGATGGCAGTAATAATAGTGCACCTCTTGCGGGGATTGTGCGAGCATTAAATGAGGTCACACGTGCAAATCTCTTAGCAGCAGCCTGGCCTTTGGCGAGCGGGGGATGACAGACAGCAGTGTTGCTATTTTCTTTTCTGTTCTCTCTTTTGATTTCTTCCTGCTGCTTCTTTTCACTCATTCATCCATTTATTTATCTGTCACGGTTTCCAGGGAGCTGGGTCACTCATTCATCCATTTATTTATTTGTCATGGCTTCCAGGGAGCTGGGTTTGGGACTCGAACCATGGTCAGCCCTGTGGGAATCCAGTGCCTTAACTGCACCATATCACCTGCTGGCCCAACTTTGTGTTTTTTTCTTCCTTCCTTCCTTCTTTCCTTTCTCTCTCTCTTTTTTTCCCTTTCTTCATTCCTTCCTTCTTTCTCTTGCTCTCCCTCTCTTTTAAAAAATAAACCAGAATAAGTGTTCTCACCAGAGAGAGGAAGAGAGAGGGAGAGGGCGAAAGTGCCCCCAGTGATGAGTGATCACGCCACACTCCCTTCTCCCCCATCTCCCGTTCTGCCAGGCGAATGTCCCCAGCGTGTGTCTCCAGCCACGAGGGCCAGCTCAAACAGCATCGTTGGCCATGTGGGACCCAGCTCTCTTCACCACCAGGCAACCAAGCCAGCTCTGGTATTATTATTAATTTAAAGAAACAGAAAAAGCAAAACCGTTTCATCCAGTCAGCAGCACGCCCTCCAGCTGTCACGAGATGATGGGGTGCAGAGCTCCGAGTTCCCTGTGGGAGGGTCATAAATTATGAGTGGAGCTGACTCCCAGCTGCAGTCACTGCCTGAGCCCTAGAAATGATTCAAACAAGTTTCTGTACAACTCATGCGCTAGTAAGAAAAATCCTAAATGCATCAGGGCAGAACACGAGCGAGACGAAACATGCCCCTGTGCAGTGGGAAGACCGGAAATTCCACGGCAGGCCCCACAACCCGGGGAGGCCAGAATCCATATTGGGCCTGAGTCGTCGTGAACTTTGGTTTAGAACCCTGGAGCGTGAGAGCCGGAAGAAACACGAAGCGCATCTAATTCCTCAACTGAGGAAGGGAAGCGGAGGGGTTAAGACCATTCACAGCCAGTTCAGGGCGGGGCTGGAGCCAGGGCCCAGCTTCTCTCCGGCTTTTCTCTTTCCTCAAGCTTAATATTTGCTATTGCTCTCTGCTAATTTTAGCAAGGACCACCTTTTGTTTGCTTGTTTGTTTGTTTTTTAATGACAACATTGTAAAACTTAGAAGGGAAGGTCCCCTTGCAAACTCCAGTTCCCAGAAATCCCTGGAAATAACTAAGAATCATTCTGATTATTTCCATTCTGATTCTTAGTTACTAAAGTGCCCTCAGACTATGTTGTGAATGTCACCGACAGGTCTACAGTCATCTAAGAAGGAAGGACAGAACCCAGAGACACAGATACTCAATACAACCACATGGTGCCACCTCCATCTGTCACAGCTGAAGAGACAATGCCGTAACCTAACTGGAGGTGGTGTGGTGCAATGGTTAGGGCACAGGCTTGTCGTCAGTGCTGGGCTCCAACCCGAACTCTGCTCCTATTTCCTGGGTGGCCTTCAGTACTTTACAAACCCCTCCGAGCTTCACTTTCCTCCTTTGGAAATCAGAATCAATTCTAGCCGCTCCCATATGGGCTTATAGTCAGGGCGAGAAAAAAAATCATGTGTTTCAAGCACTGAGCAAGGGGGTCTAGCACAATGGGAGGTCTCTAGAGCAGGTGCATCATCACCACATGCCTCCAGTTCCTATAGGAGTCTGATATTTACTGGGTCAGCCCGATTTTAGCTTGCTGTGAAGGGTCTATCAACCTGCACTGCCGAATCTGGGTTTGCACCCGAAGGAATAAACTTCCAGTGTTCCCCCCCCCTTTTTTTTGCCAGAGGGCATGTGTGCTTGACAGAGACACAAAGAGGGAGAAAGCACCCCCCAATGGGGTATAGTCATGCTGCAACCCTTTTCCGTGGTTTCTCCATCCTACTGAGATTTGCGGCATACATGCACATGTGCCCGGGTGTCTCCCAAACTTCCAGGGCTGAGTACGCGTTCACAGTTGGCCATGTGGGATCCCGCAGCCTTGAGCACGTTGATGCAGGCTGGCCCCTTCATTTCCAATTGCTTTTTAAAAAAGAATTATTTTATTATTCATTATTATTTCTGACTTGTCATAGGGTAGGTGCACTCACCGGAGACAGAGAGGGAAAGTGAGAAAGCAAGTCGCCAGGTGCTAGACGCAGACCGCGGTCAGCCATGAGGGAGAGTCCAGCGCCTAACCACCACGCCACTTGCTGGCTCACACTTCTCCAATTTCTAACTCAAAGTAGAAGCGACACAATATAGAAACCTTTTGCACGGCAAGAATCCACAAGACCAAAATATTAAAAAGTAGAAATATCCTGTGAGGTAAAACCAGCTACACAGAAAAGCAGAGGAATGAGTGAAGTGGTGCTCCACACCAAGGCAGAGTTCAGGTCCCCTGAGATGCTGAGGCCCTGAGCTAAGTTTTACAAAAATGGGGGCTTTTAAAACATCAGCTACTCACCGGGGGAGACTGTGTATGTTGGGGATGAGGTTACACAGGGACTCGCCACACTTTCTATTCCATTTTCCTGTGAGCCTAAAACTCCTCTAAAACATGAAGTTTATCAATTTTTAAAAAATCATGTACTTAAAAATAAATCACTTACTTGAGCATGGAAGCATATAAAAATCTAATAATATAAACAATAAGCCCAACTTATTTTAATATGCTGCTGCCATCCAAACTGGGCTCAAGTTTTTAAACATCTTAGGAATTTCGTGTGCTCAGGTAGCATTTTGTTTCTCTCTCTCTCTTTTTTTTTTTTCTTTGGAGAGATTTTCGCTACAGGGCGCGTGCGCTCGCCAGACAGACACAGACAGACATTAGAAGCAAAAAGCGAGAAATCACCCCCCAGGGGGGATGGTCACTCCGCAATCCCTGCTCCTCCATTCTCCTCTCGGGATCTTGGGCATACACGCACACGCACACGCACCCGGCATGAGTTTTAAGTCACCGGGTCCGGGACGCGAACCGTGGTCGACTACATGGGAGTCCAGTGACATAGCCATTAAGCTAACTGCTGGTTCCCTTTTTTTTTTTTTTTTTTTTAAAAAAAGAGGTTTTTGGTATAGGGTACATGTGCCTACCAGAGAGACAGAGAGAGACAAAGAGCCAGAAAGTGAGAAATCACCCCCCCAAAAGGGATGGCCACGCCGCAATTCCTTCTCCTTCATTCTCCTCTCAGGATTTTGGGCATGCACACACATGCGCCCGGCATGAGTCTTAAGCCACCGGGTCTGGGACTCGAACCGCAGCCCACTATGTGGGAATTCGGCAGTGCAAAATTCGGCAGTGCAACCACTGCTCCGGTGCCCTGCATTGTGATTCTGATGAGAGATTAACTGCAGAGTCTGTGAGGAGAGGCAACCCAGCTTTGTACAGAGAGGTGGCATAGGAAAGGCGCTCAGCTTCAAGCTGTCTGTCCTCAACAATGTCTTCTCAGCCTTTCCAGATAAAAGCATTTGTGGGCTCTTGTTTCTTTATTTTTTTTTTAGCAGTTTTTGCCTTAGGGTGTGTGCACTCACTTGAGAGAGAGACAGAGACAGAAAGAGAAAGTGAGAAAGTGCCCCCCACACACACCATGGGAGATGGTCATGCCACAATCTCTTCTCCCTTTCTCTTTTTGGGATTTTGGGCATGCATTCACACACACACCCCGAATGTTTCTCAAGTCACCAGATCCAGGACTCGAACCACACAGTTTGGCCACATGAGAGTCAGCTATCTTAACCACCATGTTACTGGCGGGCCCCTCATTAACTTTTTTTTTTTAAGATTTATTTATTTTATTCATTACTATTATTATTATTATTATTATTTTATTTGACCAGAGAGAGGCAGAGAGAGAGAAAGAGAAAGTAAGAAAGCCATCAGATCCAGGACTCCACCATGGTCAACCCCCCAGGGAGTCCAGCACCTTAACCACCACACCACCTGACAGTCCCTCATGAACTTTTTTTTTAAATTATTTATTGGGACCAGCATTGGCGTAATAGTTACATTGCTGGGCTCCCATGTAGTTACCATGGTTCCAGTCCCAGACCGGGCAGCTTAAAACTCACACCAGACACATGTGAGTGTGTGTCCAAAATCCAAGAGGAGAATGGAGGAGAAGGGATTGTGGCATGGCCATCCCCCTGGGAGGTGATTTCTTGCTTTCTGTCTCTGTGTGTCCCTCCAGTGAGTACACACGCCCTACAGCAAAAATTTCTCTTAGAAAATTATTTTACTATCATTTTTTTACGTTTGCTATAGAGTATGTGTGCTCACCAGAGAGAGTGTGAACATGAGAGAGCAAGCTGTCAGATCCGAGCCTAGAACCTCAGTCAGGAGTGTGGGAGTCCAGTGCCTTAACCACCATGCCAACTGCTGGCTCCCCCTCCCCTGAACTTTTTGGAGACCGCTCACTTGCATGCGAATTCTTTGTGTTTCTGGAACACCAAGCTTTTTAGCCCAGGGAATCGTTACTGCCGTGCCGTGGTTTAGCTAACCGTGTAGGCCAAGCCTGAATCTCAGACACTAAGTCCTCTGTGGGGTCCAGGCACACGGCCTGCCGGAGGGATGGCCTCACATTTCAGTGATTTGCAAATGACAGGAGGCGTGCCTAAACTTATCCTACATTTAGAAAATTTTGTGGGTTCCTGTCTGCCCAGGGGATTTCTAATACTTGTTTATGCAAACAGCAGGTTTCATAAGAGCCTTGCTGGCTTTTTTTTTTTTTTAAGCGATTTCGTAGTTTCCTGGTAACCATTCAGTCATCTGTTTCAACACCCTGACATGACATAAGGCGGGCGCGAACCTCTCGCTCCCACACAGGCACACACCTCCTGCCCTGAGCACTGCGGGCCGCGCTCCTTCCCACTCCGGGTCCTCATGAGCCGGCGCCGCCCGCAGGACCACTTTCTGCTCATCGACAACAAGAGCTGCTGCGTGTTCCGGGACGACTTCATCGCCAACGTGCTGCCGCCCGTGCTGGGGCTGGAGTTCGTCTTCGGGCTCCTGGGCAATGGCCTGGCCTTGTGGGTCTTCTGCTTCCACCTCAAGGCCTGGAAGTCCAGCCGGGTCTTCCTGTTCAACCTGGCGGTGGCTGACTTTCTCCTGATCATCTGTCTGCCCTTCCTGACCGACAACTACGTGAGGAAGTGGGACTGGAGGTTCGGGGACGTCCCGTGCCGGCTGATGCTCTTCATGCTGGCCATGAACCGCCAGGGCAGCATCATCTTCCTCACCGTGGTGGCCGTGGACAGGTACTTCCGCGTGGTGCACCCCCACCACGCGCTCAACAAGATCTCCAACCGGACGGCGGCCGTCGTCTCCTGCTTCCTGTGGGGCATCACCATCGGCCTGACGGGGCACCTCCTGTACCGGAAGATGCTGACCCGCAATGGGGCCGCCAACCTGTGCAGCAGCTTCAGCATCTGCCACACCTTCCGCTGGCACGACGCCATGTTCCTCCTGGAGTTCTTCCTGCCCCTGGGCATCATCCTGTTCTGCTCCGCCAGGATCGTCTGGAGCCTGCGGCGGCGCCAAATGGACAGGCACGCCAAAATCAAGCGGGCCATCAACTTCATCCTGGTGGTGGCCGTCGTCTTCATCATCTGCTTCCTGCCCAGCGTGGCGGTCAGGATCCGCATCTTCTGGCTCCTGCACACGGCGGGGACCAAGGACTGCGAGGTGTACCGCTCGGTCGACCTGGCCTTCTTCATCACCCTCAGCTTCACCTACATGAACAGCATGCTGGACCCGCTGGTCTACTACTTCTCCAGCCCGTCCTTCCCCAACTTCTTCTCGGCCCTGTGCCGCCGCTGCCTCCGGAGGAAGGCGCCGGAGCCGGATCACAACCGCAGCACGAGCGTGGAGCTCACGGGGGACCTGAACACTGCCAGGAGCGTCCCTGACGCTTTAATGGCAGGGCCCGGGGAGCCATGGAGCCCCTCTTATCTAACTCCCACCTCTCGCTAAATACGCGTGCCTGGAAGCGAGATTGTCACCGAGAACCCAGAGCTCTGGGGGAAGCGCCTGGCTGTGTCACAGACAACATCCCCAGGCTTGGCCTGCAGTCTCCTGCAATGCAACCCGCAGTCAGAGAATCCGATTTAGAGCACGGTGGGACAGCAGCTAAGGTTGCAAGGCTGACCACAGAAACCTTGGGAAGCAGAGTTTGCTTCTGAGCGCCTGAAACTGTGTCATCGCTGACACTCGTGGGGCAGAGGTGGGCGAGGAGTCATCTCTGTCGCGCAGAGTCGGAGACACAGAGATGCCCGTGGGTACCTTGCTGGTCTCCTCCCACCTGCCTGGGACTGGCCGGTTCTCAGCTCCGGGGTGATCTCGAGCCTGTTTGCCGGCTCCTCAGAGAGCAGAAGAGCAGGAGGTTGGAGAGGAGTCCTGGGCTCCGGGAGGGAGCCCAGGCGTCATTAAACAAGCCAGCAGGTCACCTGGGCTCTGCAGCATTTAGCAGGAAGGACTCAACCAGGAGCTCAGGAGCGCTGGCCAATAGGCGTTTCCAGTGGGGTGGTAAGCAGGGGATTAGCCCCGGGAGGGACTGAGCTACCCAGTGTTATTAGGGGAAAGGAAATGGCATTTGGCTATAACCAGCGACTAATCCATTCTTCTCTTGTTTACATTAATTTGAGCAGTTTGAAAGGCTTGGGAACGAAGCGGCTTCCCACCTGTTTGCCTTTACCATTAAAAGGGAAAGCCCAGTGATAAAGGGAAGGAGCCTTCGGCTTCATGTGCTTGTTTCTGAACCAACAGTAAATCTACCCTGTCCATCTGTTTCGATAGGAGACCGTCTGGAGTTGCGTATGTCTGGGTTAGGGTTCACAGAAACGGTCCTCTTACTTAAGCAGAGACCTTTATGGGTTGTTAACTATGTCCTGGTAGAAAAATACCACTTACTGCAAAGTAAGAAAAAGACGTGGGGGCCAGTCGGCCTGGTGGTTAAGGTGCTTGGATCTCACACGACTGATGCGTGGTTTGAGTCCCAGACCTGGTGGCTTGAAAATCACAGGCATGTGTGGGTGTGTGTCCAAAATCTTGAGAGGAGAATGGAGGAGGAGGGATTGCAGCTTGGCTCTCCTTCCTGGGGAACGCTTTCTCAGTTTGTCTCTCTAGTGAGCACACAAATCCTAGAGCAAAATTTAAAGAAAAGGACATGAACCCTGAGCTCCATCATGAGATAATTGAATAAAAACTACATTGCGGGAGCTGGCAGGTGGTGTGGTAGTTAAGGCACTGGACTCCCACATGGTTAACCCTGGTTCGAGTCCCAGACCTGATGGCTTGCTTTCTCACTTTCTCTCTCTCTGGTTAAATTAAAAAATAATAATAATAGAGGCTGGCAGGTGGCACAGTGGTTGAGGCACTGGACTTCTACATGGTTGACCATGGTTCGAGTCCTAGACCTGGCTGCATGGTTTTTCACATTCCTTCCTTGTCTCTGTCTGTATCTCTCTGGTTAAATTAAAAGGTGATAATAATAAATGAAGTTAAATAAAATAATTTTTAAATGAAAATATATTCTCTCTAAAAAATTATGATCAATAAAATTAAATAATTCTGAAAAAATATTTAGAAACTACATTGTGGGTTCAGTCATGGTGGCTGGGTGATGCTGAAGTCTTGTGGGAGCCCTGGGGTGGCATCACAGCCCTTGGCCTGTGATCCTGACTGACTGGGGACAGAGGAGCAGATGGCAGTGTGTTGGGTGCTCGCCTATGGGTTCCTCTCCCTCTCTCCCATCTCAAGAAATGAATACACTTAAAATTATATGTGTGTTGAAACAAGAATGGGGAATATCCAAGAATAAGTCAAAACCATCTACTTTAGAAGGGCCGTGCGGACAAGACTGAAGAGCACTATTTCCACTTTAGTTAGATGAACACTGCTATTCATATTCGTGTGTTAAAGAAGGAAATCGGGCCAGACAGCCTTTCTTCTGCAGGACGGGGCAGTGTTTCCTACGGAATGGTTTCGCTTCCCAGTGCTGGGGTGGAAAGGAGATGTACTGGTTTGAGTCTGTGATCTGTCCAAGTTTCTGTTACGCTTTCATTTCCAGCGCCTGTCACTCCTGATCTTTAGCAAGATGAGGCTTGCTTCAACCTCCTGACGTGGAGGCAGATACGAAACTGAGTGCGCGGACGCCCAGGCCTGGCTGAGCAGCCTCAGGTGAACAAAGGCATTCTTGAACGTCTGTGTTTTCGAAGCAGCTGGCTTGGCAGTACCCCCACGTAACTAGAGGAAGAAAGTTAAAGCGGGGCTCCTCCTCGTGTGCATGAAGCGGTGGCAGCGAGCGCTCGGAGGAAAGCCGGGGTTTCCCCCAGGCTCAGCCATGAGTCAGCAGGGAGCCCGGGTGTGAAACTCCAGTCTCAGGGGAGAGGTGGTTTGCAGGGTTCATTTGGAGCAGCTCACATTCATTCGTTTGTTCAGGCATTGCCTGCGTTTTTGCATGTGAAGCACCGACGATGTGCAAGGGTGCCATTCTGGGTGGCAGAGACAGGGCCAGAACAAGGGACAGGCAAGTCCTCCTGGCAGACAGGAAGGTGGGAGGCAGACAGTCACAGAGTCAATGCAGAAACGGGACGGGGATCTGGGAAAGCTCTGGGTGTTGGACAGACAGCAAGTGAGGGGGTGAGAGAGCACAGACATGGACGAAGTGAAGGCATGGGAAGGGGTCTGGCATAGCTGCGGGGGTCACAAAGCCAGGAACGTGGGCGGTGATGGCTCAGAGAGTCGGGGCCGGAATGACCGGGAAAGGGGCCGTGAGCTGAGTCGGGACTGACGAGACAGAGGAGACAATGTGAAATCCGGGGCAGGCCCTTCCAGGAGGACAGAGTGTGGGTACAAAGACTCCGAGGTGAGAATTAGTTTGGTGCGTGGGGCGTCTTGGTTTCCCGTCACTGCCTTAGCAATGCCACGCAGACTTGCTAAAAACACAGAAATGAACGCTTTCATAGTTCTGGAGGCCAGGAGATCAAGCCTGAGGTGCTGGTAGGGCGGGGGCCTGTGAGGAGACCTGTTCCAGGCCTCCCCGGCCTTTTGGTTGCCGCCATCTTTGATAATCGTTGGCTCATGGACACCTCACCCAGTCTCTGCCTCCACTCTCATGTAGGTTCTCCTCTTCTTATAAAGACACTTCTTGGAACCAGCAGATGGCGTAATGGTGACGTTGCTGGACTCCCATGTAGTTGACTGTAGTTCACATCCCGGATCCGGTATCTTCAAACTCATGCCAAGCACGCGTGCGTGTGCCCAAAATCCAGACAGAAGAATGGAGGAGGAGGATTGTGGCATGGCCATCCTGCTGGGGGAGTGATTTCTCTCTCTCTCTCTGGAGAGCACATGCACCCTGTAGCAAAAATCTCTCTCTCATAATTATCTACTTTTATTGATCATTAATATTATTTTCTCCCTTTTAAAAGAATTTTTTATTTAACTGTATTTATTCATTTATTTTATGTTAATTTGACCAGAGAGGGAGGGAGAGAGAGAGAGAGAGAAAGCAAGCTGCCAGGGCCGGAATTCGAACTGCAGTCAGCCATGTGGAAGTCCAGTGCCCCTAACCACCACGTCACCTGCTGGCCCCTATTTATCATTAATATTATTTTCTTAATTTTCTACAGGGCATGTAAAGAGACAGTGAGAAAGCAAGCCACCAGGTCTGGGACTCGAACCACAGTCAACCATGTGGGAATCCAGCGCCTTTAATCACCACACCACCTGCTGGCCTTAATAACATCTATGTTAATTTTTAAAAACCTGCTAAACAAAATTTTGTACTGTGTTTAGAAACAATTTGTAATAACACAGAAAAGTCATGAATGTGGGGCTGGCCTGTAGCGTAGCGGTTAAAGGAGCCGGGTGCCACACGGCCGACCACACCGTTCGATTCCCGGCCCCAACGGCTTGAGCACCACACCAAGCACATGTGTGTGCACGCCAAAAATCCCGACGGGGTGAAGAAAGGGAGGAGGAAAACTGCGGAATGACCAGACTCTCACGGGGATGGGGAATCCACTTTCTCCCTCTGTCTCTCTGTCTCTCTGTCTTTCACTCTCATGGGAAAAAGAAAAAGCTTTGAGAAGTTACATCTTGGGGCCAGCAAGCTGCTGTGGTGATTAAGGCACTGGACTCCCATGTGGCTGACCTTAGTTCGAGTCCTAGGCCAGGCGGCTTGCTTTCCTAATTTCTCTTTCTCTCTCATGAGCACATGTGCCCTATAGTAAGTTAAAATAACATAATAAATAATTTAAAAAGATGATACCATTCTAGAGATGAAGCAGAACCCCGCATCTCAGAACAGGGTTGTGTTTGGAGGGAGGGGCCTCGAGGAGGGCCCAAATCCAACACGCCTGATGTCCTCCTAAGAGGTGAGAACCCGGAGCGCGTGCACACGCACACACGCACACACACACACACACACGTGCACACACACGCTACGCAAGGCCATGGGAGGACACGGGGAGAAACCCGCTCTCCACCTGTCAAGGAGGGACTCGGAAGCGCCGCCCTGCCACCACCTTGACTCAGGCTCTGGCCCCCCGACAGCACGCGTCCCCTGCGGGCGCCCCGGGCGGTGTGGTCCTCACGGAGCCCGCAGACATGCGACGGCCAGCCCGCTTCCTCACAGGCCTGGGCAGGTGCTCCGGAGCCCGGCTGGAATGCCATCTGGGCTTATTTAAAAGCCACTTACGCCTGCCTTCATTAAATGGGGGGCCGGCACGTGGCATGACGGTGGAGGTGCTAGACTCCCACGTGGCCGACCGTGGTTTGAGTCCCAGAACTGGTGGCTTGCTTTCTCACTCTCCCTCTCGCTCTGGTCAAACTGAATAATAATAATAATAATGAATAGAATAAAATAAGTATTTCTTTTTTAAAAAATTTCATTAAAATGTGTATTTAAAAAAAAAGTGCCAGCAGGTGGCATGATGGTTAGGGTGCTGGACTCTCATATGCCTGATTGTGGTTCGAGTCCCAGACCTGGCAGCTTGCCTCCTCACTCTCCCTCCCTCTCTGTCTCTTTCCAGCAAGCACATGTGCCCTGTAGGAAAAATTAGGGGGAAAATGAACACCCATTGCTGAAATAGACGGAGGGATCAACATAGGGGCAGGCAGTAGCTCAGTGGTGGCACGGCCAGATTCACATGGGAAAGAAAGGTCCGGGGTCCGTTTCCCGGGACATCTCTGAGTGCCTGGGCACGCGCTGGTGTGCCTGGGATTGGGGCCAGCTGAGAGGGGCAGATCGCAGTGCGGAGACCCCCCTGGAGATGACTCTCTCTCTCTCTCATGGGAGAAATAGATGAACAAACTTTAAAAAAACAACTAATAAACAAGAGCACTTAAGGAAATCCAAATACAGCCCAGAAAGGACTTTTTAGAGCTAAATGCAAATTTTTTGAACTTAAGAAACCCAGTTTATAAACGAAAGGCTCACAGGTCTCTGCTGAGAGCCCGTCGGTCTGGGAATCCGAGCAGGAAATACCCGAAGGTGGAGTCACACTCGGAAGGGGCGGAGCTCTTGTCAGAAGATGCGGGTTGGAGGATGGCTCCAGAACGAGTATGGGCCAGCAGGTGGCGTGGTGGCTAAGGTGCTGGACTCCGACACGGCTGACCACAGTTCGAGTCTCTAGACCCAGTGGCTTTGAAAACACCCCGGGGCAGGGAGC